ACTTCTCCCGACGCCAGAATTCCGAGCCCTAGATCCTGACACCCGAGCCCTTGCAACAGGTCCAAAAACCTAGAATAAGGTGTTCGGGTGTATTATACTATAGCTACAATGGAACTTTTAAGAATAATCTTACAAACTATTCGGGACCCGATATCAAACGTTCCCTTCAGCCGGTCCTGTTCACAGCCTCCCAGAATGAACACGCCGGTCACAGTGGCGACCGCCTCGTTAAGATCCTCTGGAGCTAGCCTTGTGGCGGGCTTTAGGCTTCTAGGGCTTCGGGGCTTTCGAGTGTGAGGGTCTTAAGGGGTTGGCATTGGAGGGATTTGGGGTTTAAGGCTTGAGGTACTTGGAGGTTCATGGGTAGTTATAAGTGGAGTTATAAGTCCCCTAATATAGGTTATAACTATAGTTCCTTATTTATAAGCCCACTTATAACTACCCATAAACCTTCAAGTAGCTGGCACGGTTGACATGTTGATGTTACTCTTCGTAGTCTCCACTGGCTCCAACAGGACTGCCTGGGCTGCTGCTGTTGCTTTTTGCTGCTGCCGCTGCGGCTACTCCTCCTCCTCCTCCCACTGCTAGGATGACGACGACCACGATTATCACTACGACTACCACTGCCACGATCACGACCACGACCACGACCACCACCAACACCACCACCACCACCACCACCGCCGCGACGACGACGACTACTACTACAACTAGTAGCAGTGTTGTAGACTTCAAAAAGCAAGGGTCCCCCTACATCAACATAAACACACGAACTCACATGTCAGGGTTTACAGGATTCCCCTTGTCAGGGGCCCCTTTCTACCACTGGTTTGAATGTGTTCTTTGCGGTTACAGGCTTTGGGTTCAGGGCTAAGGCAAACCCTAGCCACAAACCCTGAACCCCCAAACCAAACCACTAAACCCCAAGCACCGATTCTCCGGTCTGCATGCTTAGGGCTATATAGGAGCTTGGGACTCTTGCTTTTGGGAATGAGGCTTTGGGTGCGTTATTTCTGCTTAGGCGTTAGGGTTATGTTTTGGGGCTCAGGGTGCAAGGTGAAGGGTTGAAGGCTTGCTTGAACCAGCCTGATCGGCAAACAACTTGGACAAGTTTATGTTTTTTGGGGAGCCAGTTGAAGTTGTATTGCAATAGAAACCCAGACACAACAACAGGAAATAAGTATACCACTCAACAACCTACTGAAGGTTTTAGTTTAGGGTTCATGGTCTATAGGGCTTGCGGATTGAATCATGAGTTCATGGTTCATCACGCGCATTTGCGGTGAGGCCTACTCAACCAAGGCATTTCAAAAGCCCTGACAGCACAGAACAGTCAACCAGTACGAGCACCATAGTTAACCAGCAAGTCTACACTCAAAGAAACCGGCCCTGGGGAATTTTGAACTTTGCCCCCTAAACCCTAAACCCTAAAATTCCGGCCTCTGTATGGTGGAGCTGCCTTTTTGGCATGCTCGAAGCTGCGGACGGAGAATGAATCCAGTATCCTGAGGCTTCGAGCATTTGCAAGGTGTAGGGGCTTCTCTGGTTATATGTCCTAAGCCCCTGAACCCTCAAACCCTAAACCCCAATCGTATCTTCTGGCAAGTTTCAGAGGTCTTGGGTCAGGGAGGTTTAAGGCTCACGGACTCTGACTCTAAACGTTGGAAAAACAAAAAATAAACCAAACCCTAAACCCTAAAATCCTAAACCCAAAGTCCTAAACCCTAAACCAAACAACGAATCCCTCCTTCCTACTTTCAAAACAGCCAAGCGAGGGTCAGTGGATCCCGCCGCGACATTCCCAACAAGCTCCTTGGGGCGAACCTGTGAGCAGTCGGACATCATCGTCAGTGTTGCGGAAGGCTCTCGGGACCAGACTTCGTGGCTTTTGTGCCCAAAGATGATACTCTGAAAGGCGTCTGGGTTGTGTTGAGCTTAGGGTTGGAGCGGGGCTTAGGTGCTGGGGTTTGAGGGTTTCAGGCTCCAGGGGTAGAGGGCGTACGCCCGACTCGACGCCCTTACTACCCCTGCACCCTCAGCCCGAAATCCCAAAACCTTACCTGGGTTGTAGTTGTAAGGGCCCTGAAAATTATATATGGCTACGTACCTCTATAAGAGCCATGACGCAAATCTTAATGTTTCCCAAAGTGCCACCCGGTTGTTGAGGTTATTAAGGTTGCTGTACGAAACCCTGAGGGAACCTTACTCCAGATTATGAGGAATCCGCTATTGTATCGTGGCGGCCCTGAGGAAGTGGTTACTAAGCCCGCAAAGGCCTACAACAACCTACGACAAAAGTTGGACAAAACCATGACACCCAACTCTTAAGCCTCAAAACCCTAAACCCTAAATCCACAAAGCACGTAAGACAAATCCCTTCGGCACCCCGGCGGGAGGGCCTCAAGGAAGAAAGCTCCGAATTGGCGAACCCATGCGGTGCTCTCTTCGGGATGCCTGGCTTGCAAGACAAGGACTTGCAGTAAGCGTCGCCGTGACTAGGGTTTAGGGGCTTAGGGTTTCAGGACTTCGGGTTTAGGGTTTAGGGTTTCAGGATTTAGGGTTTAGGGTTTCAGGAATTCGGGTTTCAGGATTTCGGCTTGGGGTTTAGGGAGTTTAGGGTTTCAGTTCTTGTGTCGGGGGCTGCGGCCGCGACTCTGATTCTGTCATCGTTCGAGGTCTGAGCCACGAAGCTCGGCTCTTTCCGCGGTGGACTAAACAGTTCGCGCGTGTACCTCTAGGCTGCATTGTAGTTCCTCTTTTGTGGTTTTATATTCAGGATTCTATAAGGTAATCCCAAAAAAGAGCTACACTGGAGACTATAGGTACAGGCATCCCCGGATGTTGCGGTACTGGAATTTGACGCACCTACCCCGAGGAAGACCACTCTAGCACTACAACGGCTACTCAACGAACCGCAACAATCATCAATAATGGCAAAAATAGCAGAGCAATCACATACTTTAAGCGCACTTAAAACGCAAAACGAGTAACAACAACTAGACTACTGAGCCTCAAGCAGTACATGGGAAACAGATGCAAGGACAAGCAGTCTCGTAGTTAAACCCTAAACCCTAAACCCTAAACCTAAACCGGTCTTTTAGTCATCCACAGCCTCAAAGTCTCGATGCCGATATTCCGGCGGAGGACGATGGAGTCATGCTTGCCTGCAGAGAGAGGCGGAGTGATCCTGCATGTCAATGTGTCTAAGGAGCATTAATCTGGTTTTGGGCTTGGAGGTTCACACTTGCAGCTGTTAGGACTTGACACATACATCTGGAAACCCCTAATCCAGAATCACCAAAGCGGATGAACGAGGTCTATGCCCTTAAACCTCAAACCCCAAGACCCTAAACCTAAAACCCGAAAACCTCTTGAAACCTAAAAGAACCAAGACCCTGTTGATACCTCCAAATCACTATAGGACCCCTCAAACCCCAAAAACCCTGTGGAATCCTAAAACCCACCGAAAGCCAAGATACAGGTGTCCCGCAGCCAGACAGCACTCCGATACGTTCGGTGGAAGACCTCGGGATGACTTGAAAGGCATTTTATAAGGTTTAGGGAATACTACCCTAAACCCTAAACCCTAAACCCTAAACCCTAAACCCTAACCCCTGGGGTCCTTTAAGGTTTAGGGAATACTACCAAGCACGTGTGGGTTGCAGAAAGAAAACAAAAATCCTCGTTTTTAGGGGTCCGACATGTTGAGGCTGATATCAGGATCCCCTATCTTATGAAATCTCCAGAAACACACAAAAAAAGCTAATCTACATTGCCTCTGTCCTGAACCCAGGCCTCCTGTTATTGGGTTGTGATGCTGTAAGCACTCTTGGCTTTCAAAGGATTTCTTGAGGGTTTAGGGTTTAGGGCTCATGGGATCAATGTCTTCAGGGTTTAGGATTTAGGGTTTCGGGCTCATGGGGTCAATGTCAACCACTGATTACTCAGCACCTTTTCCACTGCTCCCATCAAGATCTCTCTACCTCTAGGCTGCATGGTATTTCCCTTCATATTTAGGATCCTATAAGATCATCCCCAAAAGGAACTACGTTGGATACTACAGGTACGCCCTATACAAGCCCTGCGCAGCACAGGTTCAGGGTTTACCTGCAGCTGCGGGCGTCGTAGGGTTTAGGGACCACAAGTAATTAGTAGGTCATTTCCATTGGTGGATCTTTGGGTAGGGTTTCGAGTCCCCCCAGTGCCGTCCGCGGAGCGTTACCCTCCAGTTCCAGTACGGAGGCATAGTTGGCCTACCCGCAGCGATTCAGTTCTAGCAGACTTAACTTCTGGGGTAGATTACAGTCTACATTGGGATTACAAGGGGGATGCGATTCTATTCAAACTATGCCGACCTCTTTATATTGCGGGGTGTTGGGATTGTGTAGTTACGGGTTGAAGGTTCCCTGACTTCAGGGGCGCCGCCTGAGGAGTTCGGGGGTTAAAGGTTTAAGACCGTCGCGTTTCGGGTTCAGGACTTGTAATATAGGGGCCTTAATAATTAGACTAGGTTTTCGGGCCCAGTATACTATACTTATAATAAGGAGCCTCCAAAATAGCAAGGTGATTATGAAGGCCCCTATATTATAGTGAAGGCTCGGGGGTCTGGTGGCTTGTGCAGGAAGGCTTGTGCATTCATCAGAGAGTTCGGGGCCAAGAGGTCTTCTAGGGCATACGTCTCCCGTTGTAGCTCCTGTTGATCCGAAGTTCCCAATATTTCCTGCAGCGTCAAGTTGCAACCCTGAGGTCTATAGAGTTTATAGGGTTTGGTTCGGAGGTTGCAGACATCTAAACCCTATGAGCGTAAAGTCCTAGGCCGAAACGCTGAAACCCAAAGCCCTATTACTCCTAAACCCTACACCCTAAACTCCCCCACAAACCCCATGAATCCATCAAGGAGCACAGACAGGAGTCCTTAAAGGCCTCGGCTAACAGAATCCATCACTTCTCGGTTTGGGGGGGGACGGTGGGGGTTTTGGGGCTTCAACGGCTACAGGGTTTCAGGGGGTAGGATTCCACGATGAAGCCTCAATAGCACCGGACTTCGATCGGCTGAACACGCAGTTCTCCACCCGCGAGATGTTGCTGTGGCCTGCAGCTGGCCGGGACTATGAGTAAGGCAAGATAACCCACGAGTCATGCTATATTCTCCAAATGCAAGCCTTCAGTGTGAAAACTGAAAAGGTGTATCCTTACAGCAAACTTACACGACCTAAACCCAAACTAGTGGGCCTGTTGACATGAGAGGATAGCCGACGCTGAAATTTAGAAGATGCACTTCCACATCGTTCTGCCTATACTTTGTTGGGGACCTCACCGAAGGCAAACTCGAATCTCCAAACGGTTTGTCTACAAAAAATTAACACCGTAGAGCCTAGACGCGAAACCCCAACACCCTGAACCCCAATTAAACCCCAAAGCAGCACCAAACCCTGCTCTCAACCCGAAGGCCTTAACGGCTTTGACACCCAGATGAATGAAATCATGTAATTAATGAAGGACCCTCATCCACGCCTCATGTAGAAAAACAGAAAAACTAAAACCCCTCAACAAACGGTACAAGCCTATAAATAGCGCAACAAGACCCTGCCAAGTTCACAGCAAAATCCTTTTACAAATCCCACGAACCCCTCAACTGTGTATAAACTCCTCTTATCACCATCCCAGAATCCTTTTTACAAGCCCTAAACCAACCCTAAACCCTAAACCCATAAATCCTCTAGTTATTAAGTCCCATCTCAAGAACCCCTATAAAAAAACTTCTATGAGCCCTGTGAGATAACCCTTTTAAAGGAACCCTGTTCTAAACCCCGAAACCCTAAACCCTCAACCCTGAACCCTCAACCCTAAACCCTCAAATCTAAACCCTCAAATCTAAACTCTAAACCTTAAACCCTCAAATCTAAAACCCAAGCTTCCTAAACCCTAAACAACCTGTTAAAGGAACCCTAAACCCTAAACCCTCAAATCTAAAACCCAAGCTTCCTAATCCCTAAACCCTAAACCCTAAACCTGTTACAGGAACCCTAAACCCTAAACCCCCAAATCTAAAACCCAAGCGTCCCCACCACCCCGAGCCTCCCAAGAAGTTGAACTTCAGAGCTGGGGCCTGGCAGACTCGGGTTTAGGGTTTAGGGTTTAGGGTTTAGGGTTTAGGGTTTTTGGAGTTTTGGGTTTTTGGAGCTTGGCAGATGTTTGGCAGTTTTTGCAGTCTTGGAGTTTAGGGTTTTAGGGCTTTAGGGGTTTAGAGCTTTAGGGCTTTAGGGGGTTTAGGGGTTTTGGGGTTTTGGGGGTTTTGGGGGTTTTGGGTTTTAGGGTTTAGGGTTTGGGGTTTGGGGTTTTGGGGTTTAGGTTATGATCATGAATTTTCATAATGTTAGTAACAATGATAATAATCATGAATGGTAACAGTC